TAAAGCATCAGCTAGTCAAGAGAATCTGAGCATCCATGGGATCTGCCCTATGGATCTGTGCTTCACTCCTTCCTATGGATCTTTTACTTTTTTCCCCTCTTGTCCTACAGTAGATTCACTCTAGTGCTACTTTCTCTATAGTTTTTCCTCTGCTTTCTTAAATATTAATTTCTACCTTTGCTTTTCTTCTTTTGGACTGCTTTTTTCTCTGCCCTCTTATCTTTTCTCACCTTTACTCTTGTTTACCACTCTCTACCCCTTTCTTCCCCCATGCTGTCTTATGCTCTCTCTCCTTTTCTCCTCCCTGGAGCTGCAGGTGTAAATTTTGCTTTGTTTGAACTACAGTAGCAAGGACTCAGAACTGAAGGTGTTTGTATGCCATGAGCATCCTGCAAACTCTTACTCACCAAGCACTGGTGGCACACACACTTATTCACAGTGTCCTGTAAAAGTGAAGCTGTATCACTGACAATATTAAGGATAAAACTATACATATTTTCATATTATTTTGTATTTATTTATTTTTTCAAATAGGTACAGTAAAAGATATATAGAATGGCATAAGGGAAAGTAAATAATGACAATTAACTTTTTTGGGGTGAACTATCCATTTAATAAATCCCTGAATAATTAGGCTGGTTTTGAGTTAATCTGATATGGAGATGTGTTTTTGAAAGTTGGACCTTTTGAGTCACTGCTTAAAAAATACAAAGCTTTTGGCAGTTTTGAGCATTGTTAATGCTCAATAAACAGTGTGAGACGTGATGCTACAGTTTCATTATGCAAACTGTCTAACAACCAAAATATGGCACACTGTCAGCATGCTATTTAAATCACTGGCAGTCTGGCACTAATAAAATTAATGTTAAAATTAAAAAAACAATAATGAGAAAAAAATCTAATGAGCTTGTTGTAGTTGGAGGATTGACTTTTGAGATGACTAGTCCATATGAGCAGAAAATCAGGACTGATCTGCAAATAGCTGGTATTAGTACTTGAAAAGAAATGGGTCTTTTCTGCCATGACAATTATTTACTAATGCATGTTTGAATTGGCCTGAATTGAAAAATGTAGAGAATAAATGATTTAGTCATGAACTCAGTCTTTTTAATTTGGCTAAAAGTCTCCAGCCAGTGCATCAAGCAAAGAGTGGATTTGTGTTTGCTACAAAAAAGACAACATAATCAGTTTGATTTGATGGAAACCTTCCTTGCTTGACCTGGCATATACTTACCAGCAATCAAAATATTTTATATTGCAGGTGAATTCACTAGATTACATGCATTAAGACATAATGAACAGCCTCGTTTCTGAGCCACAAAGGTGAGCACATTATCTACCGTACATATGCTAGATGAAAGTACTGAAAAAAGAAAAAAGAAACAGGTAAATTAATCATCTGTCCTCCTGACTGCACTCAAGCACACAGAAGGAGAGAACATTTAAAGCCATTTTACAGCTCTGCATCACTTTCACGCCTGTGAGATTCATGAGACATGAAGCTGGTCTCTGAAACTTTAGTCAGTGCACCAAAGCTGGTTTAATTTTCCTCTTGACCGATCATAGTCTCCACACACCCATCAGTGGCAGACTAGCTAACGCTATACATGTCCTGTTCATGCTATGTTGGACAGAGTATTACAGAGGGCCTGATGGTGTCGGCACAAGTGCAGGGCATGAGTGATTTTGGTGTTGTGTTGCAGTTTTGCATTTTGGCACTATGATTTGCCAGAAGTGGAGTTCCTGGAGCAGGTGGTGATGCAGGGTTAGCAATGATCTCAGCTACTGTTCTTTGGCCCGGGTTCTTACTATAAGGCAGGAGAAGGTGAAAAATCCACTGCGCAATCTGGACAATGTGCCGCAGGTTTCCTCTTGAGTGGGAAGATACCGCCCAAAACCAGCATGATAAGCCCAGGTGACAAAGTGAGAGAAGGGAAAGGAAACACTAGATGAAGACTGGGTGCACTTGTAGAAGTTTCCATTAATGCCATGTTTTTTTATGCCATTTAAATTAAGTAATAATGTCTACAACAAAGCAGTTCCTCTAAATACATGGAATTTGTAGGATTTGTTGTTTTTGTTGTTGTTGTTGCATTTATTAGAATGTTCTCACTAATTTATTGGTCTGATTTACATGATACAGACCTCAACAATTTGCATTATTAACATTGGTTTACAAATGTGCACATTAGACAGTGATGAGATTTATTCCAGTGGTTCTCAATGTTTTTGACTCAAGGCCCCTACCCCATTGTTCACAACGAAATTTACAGACCCCATGACATTTCTATTTGTGTTTTTCCTGGATTTTTATAAATATTTTTACTCACAATTTCAAAAATATTTTAGAGCTTGACATAAAAATAAATAAATATATAGTCTTAATAAAAATTCCCATGGACTTTTAAGATTTTATTGATTTACATGACTTTTCCAGGTTTAAGAAACACAATTTTAAAATTAGGTTTCCTCATATATTATTTTATATTTAGATTCCATTGGAATCCTTGTTCTTCAATTAAAGACAAATGTTGAGGGGGTTAATTGAAATAAGTAATATCTTGTATTTAGTTATTTGGACTTATGCTTGTTTTGCCTTGATTTAAATCATTTTAAGTAATTTTTAGGCTCCCTGGAATTTTTCTGAGGCCCCCTAGTGGGCCCCAGGCCCCTATCTGAGAACCACTAGTTTATTCTAAACCACATACGACTGACAGAAATGAGATGGAGTTCAGTGAGTCATTCTTAGAAACTATTTAAACTGTCCTAACTATTTTAAAGTCATGACTTTGAGTCAAACCATGAATTGATTTGACTGATGCATTGACAAAGAAGAACCTTTCATAAGCTGGTACACAAGAGTTAATTTGTTTGTAAATTAGAAATTACTGTGGGTTGGGAGGGTCGATTACTAATTCCATGGCTTTGAATGAGCTGAGTTTTAGTTTTTTTCCATTTTACGAGAATGCAGACTGCCTTTCTACTGCAAATGGACTGACTTTTTTTGTAGTTCTACATGCTTTCATTTTGATCAAAAGTGTATAGGAAGAAAGAGAGCTAGCAACCCTGCAGTGCTCCAATATTGATGCAGAAGAAATTGGGAGATGATTGCCCTCATATGCAGGTTACAGGATAGGTTTTTATATAACACTCAACAGCAGGAGTTTTCAAGTCACAAAGTGCCAGTGTAGGTCAAAAGTGTTATTGCACCAGAATCACCTTTGTTAAAGCTGGAGCTGAGGTCCTGAACGAATTGACTTGCTTGAACTCCTTAAATGAGCAGCATGACTTGAAAGAAAATGTTCTGAACGGGAGCTGTGCTTACACCTGCCTGCTGTTTACCATTCCGAGCACTAACATCTTTTCAGTTCCAAGGTTACAGGGTTCACAAAAAGATACTCTGGAGTGTCTCACAGGTATACGTATAAACAAGCACTCACGTGGCTGACTGTATGCAGTAGTGCTTGTCTTTGTTGGTGCTATAGTGAAGTGGTTACAAGCTCAGGGTAACTGGAAGGTTGCTGGTTTTAGTCAGATTGGCAAGTCACTCAAACCCAGGTTGCTTCAAGAGGCCCAGCATGCATCACAATACAAAAAGTTTCATAATACAAAAATGTAATGGGCTTCTTGCTTTAAATTTAATGCAATAGTAGAGAAGCTAGGAAACGACAGTGAGAAGATGCATGGGATGCATGGTGTGGTGCTGTAAGGCCATTAATGTATGTGGGCACGTCTGATAATTTTTCTTCTTGTGCTGCATACTCATTTTTGATTTAGCAGATGCAGAGATGGTAAATGGTGTAAATAGTGCCATCCATCAGAAGATTCTATCCACAAGTAGCTTCATCCCAGAGTTAAAGATGCATTTTTAATGCTTGCCCGCTTGTTATCTTCACCTACAGTATAATTTTCTGGAATTAAATTGCAAGATGTACACAACTTGTGCAGGCCACACTTTGTGGGTGCTTTTATGTCTCTTTAGCTCACTCTTTCACTACTTACTTGTGCATAGACATATAATACAAACACTTTTTTTTTTTACAAAAACTGTCACAGTTTCGAACTTTTTCAAATTGTTTTAAAGTCATGAGGCAATATAAACTTTGTGAAGCTTTTTCTTGTGTGAACTTTGAAAAAGAAAATGTATGGCACTCAAAATGTGTGTGACGAGAGGGGCGGGGCCGAGAGCCGTGGGAACGGAGCGCGCATTATCAATTACTCCACCGGCCTCGCTCCGTTCCCACGGCTCTCGGCCCCGCCCCTCTCGTCACAGTGTGTAATTAAAAATAATAATTTTCGTTATATTTATAAAAATATGCATACAAAAATATATTTAGAAAATATTATAATTGTAATAATATTTAAATGTATTAGTACTTGACTATCTTTCTAGAGTTAATACTTAGCGGGGTCACCTTTGACAACAATTACTGTGTTTATCGAACATGAAACTGATGCCACGACTTCGTTAAGTTAAGCAGGAACTGTTTGCAAACTGCAGTGTTTAAGTCATTTCACAGATGCTTAATTGGAATGACTGGATCTCTCCAGGACATCAGTGTTGTAAGTGTGTATTTTGCCGTATGCTTCAGGTATCTGTCCTGTTTGAAGATGAATCACCCTTGAAGTCTCAGTGCTGTGGGGGACTAACATGTTTTCTCCTAGGACTTTCTTGTTTTAGCTCTATCCATTGTTCTTTGTGTCTCTCTGAGTTTTGAGCCCCTGCTGTGGAAGCATAGCCTATGCAAGTCCATGAATGCAGACACTTCTAGCTGCGTATGCTCAATTTTGTGTTGTTTTATGAAAATGTGTTAACAGAGTTGCCACAAGGGGCAGTATAGCAACATTAGCATGTAACATTAACCTGTTAGCATTCCACTGTGTTTTAGGCATTTTAGGCAAATTTTACAGGAATGCTATGGGGTTAAACATTATTTACTGTCAGTTTTCTCTTTCAGCCTCATAATGGCAAGAGGTGGTGAAATCCACTGATTTCAATTTGCCAGGAAGCAGTTTAAGCTACTAGGCTGCTATAATGCTTCATTGGAAGACCTGGATTTGCCAACATTCATTAGGTACATGGCATTTGATTTTTCAGAGACATTCAAGAGTTTTTAGGGTCTAATATTGTGGTAGCATTGGTTTCAGATTTGCATGTCCATAATCTTCATGTGAGGCTGGTAAATCCAATGGTGGTTGGTAATTTTACATGTCAAATTTCCTCTCTGAGTAGTTTAACTACAATAAATCACAATGTGCACCAGGTAATATTCAGTTAATTCAGCTTTTTATTTCAGATTAATTCACTTAAATGTCTTGACATTTTCTCACCTTTACATTATAAAATAAATTTTCTCTAATTCTAACTAATTCTCAGTTATATACACCAGGGTTCCATGTAACTCAATGAAATGGGAATACAAAACGAAAATATGTTGAAGATTATTGGTAACCAAACCATTTTGGTGCCCATTGACTGCCATTGTATGGACAAAAAACACTGAGATTCCACAAAATATAATCTTTTGTGTTCCACAGAATATAGAAAGGTCAGAGGGTGAGAAAATATTGACAAGAGTTGCCACAAGGGGTAGTATAGCAAAATTAGCATGTAACATTAACCTGTTAGCATTCCACTGTGTGTTTTAGGCATTTTAGGCAAATTTTACAGGAATGCTATGGGGTTAAACATTCATTTACTGTCAGTTTTCTCTGTCAGTTCATTTTTGGGCGAAATATCCCTTTAAACATTGTATATTTCCAACAAGCACCTGTTGCCTTCCTACTTTCTCTTTACAGACTAGCAGGATGAATAAATCTATCCGTTGACCTCTTGGTTATTTTTCCACTGTGATGTTTATGGGTTGGCTGTTAGGTATCCATGTCTGTTCAATGTCTCCTTGGTCCTGACTAAAAGCTAGAGATGCTGCTCTGAAAGGGAAGGATGTTACAGTGCTGTTTACACTTAGGCCAGAAACATACTTGAATGCATGGCCAACATTGGAAGCAGACTGTCCCATTGTACATACTTTTCATGCATTGTTATGTTACTGTGATGGTAGCAAGTAGATAGATACTACTGGTGGCTAGCAAGAAACATGTCAATTTGGTGTGAAAGTTAGTGTTTTATGGCCAGCTGCATTTTTTTTCTACTACAGCCATGCAAGCAAAATTAATTGACTATCTTCACTTACTGACTACACCTCTGATTTCTATAGTCTGATGTAGAGATGCTCTGGCAGAAGGAGACCACAAAACTGCAGGTGCAGGACTACAGTAGTAAACCTTGCTTAACAGGATTTGCAGTAGCTGCCATAAAGGACAGATCAAATGGGCAGAGTGCAGCATTTGTTTTCGGGGACGGGGGGGAAGGAGGATGCTGAAGAGGCTAAACAGAATGAGAGCAATTCAGTTAGATGAAAGAAGTGGGTAGGTGACCAGTTCCTCCAAAGGTCATGTGGGTGCAGTCACAGGTAGTTGCAAGGGGATTCGTTTTTGTGTCTTTTTTGATCTCTGATCTTTTTCAGCAGACAACTCTTTGCAGCCTTTCTCTACACACAGCTTATCACAATCAAGTTTAGTGGGCACCGTGACAGATATTGAGACACACTGAGTGCGAAAGGCACTCAAAATCCTCCTGATGCAGAGCCTAAAATCACAGACTCCAGTCATAAAAATTGATTTGACTGTGTACTACAGAATGTCAAGGAATTTGGCAAACATTTGTACGTTAGAATGTACTTCTCAAAGAAATAATAATAATAATATTTAGACAGTTTAATAAAACAGTTTTTTAATGATTATCACAGTAAACCTCTGTTGTGCAGCAATTTGTTTGCCAAAAAATGATGTTAAAATGTTAACATTTCATTCATTATATCTTATAAGATTAATTAAATAGTTTGTTAATAACAAATAATCATTTATTTGATTAATCATTTGTTTGTTAATCATTCATTTGATTACCAACATTTTTGATAATAAATTAAATATTAATAATCATATAAATTTAAACATTTATTAAATCATAAAACACAGAATACAGAAAAAATGGAAACAGACATCACAGAAATTCTGGAGAAAAAAAAGAATAATAAAAATTTAATTAAATTAAACCATTCAAATGGCACTATTATTGTTAAAATTGTTATTATAAATTATTCATAAATTGTTCGTTTTATTAAATTAATTGATTAGATGTCCTTTTTTTATTATTAATTGATTATACATCCTTTTTGTAGACATCCTTAAAGTTTAGTTAGACTATTAAAATGGAATCCAGAAAAATTAAAACAAAAAACTGAGAATTTGGGGAAAATAAAACTGATTTTATAGTGCTGTACCAACTTGCCCATCCATCCCTTCATTACTCTCCATGATAAGATCATAAGGTGAGGAAAAGAGAACGAGTGTGTCTTAGCAAGCGGGAGATGGAGAGGCAGGTGTTTAGTATTCTGAGACCGTCTCGCTGTTAGGTAGTGCAGAGCTGAACCGTACCATCCCACCCTGCGCTTTATACTTCGGGTTTCTGGGCTAGGATGGATAGAGATAGAGAAAGAGGGAGAAATGTATTGCTGTTTGACAAATTATTATTCAGGAGGAAAAATTGAGTGGAGTGCATTTTGGAGGATTACACAGATTAAAGCATCAGGCTAAAACTGGATGTGCATGTGTTGTTAGAAAGACTTGATGAGATAAAGAAAGAGATTTTTAAAAAATAAGAAGGTAATGTGACATATCTGATCATCTGTCATGTTCTTGTCTGTCTCTGCTCTGTGACTGTATTAGTGCACAGCAGAAGGGTGAGGGTTTCTGGGTTACTGCGATGTAGCACACAGAGTTCTTTCAGTGTCCCAATCACTCCATCTCTGTCTCTGCATCAATCCCTGGCAGTGACCTCAAGGTCATTTTGACATATGCCTTCATCAGCACACACAACCTGGTAAATACCCAACATGACAGATTGAGCACGCTGTTACAGATTTTTTGCTTACTTTATCCTTTATGTCTTTGAAACAACGTTCAATGAGAATATTGAATAGAGAGCAGCCGGGGGAGGCAAGAGTACAACGATTTAAATAAAAGCAATATGCTGACCTCAACAATTTCCTGCCTGCGGTCTTTTTCTAGGAGCTCAGAATGACGTGGCATTATTGACTCTGCGCCAGGAAATGTTCGACAACACATATTTTGGCAAGAGAAAGTGGAAAACAGTGAGACAGAGAATGAATAATGGACTTAGATGACTGAAGTGAGGTATGGAAAGAGAGACTGGTATGGGCTCATGTCTGATGTGTTAGAGCAGCTGCAGTGCGGTGGAGAAGACTTAATCACATTACATCATATCACTCCCTGCACTATGTTAAACATCCATTTACCTCTCTTTCATCGTTTTTATGTTTTTTGGGGGCATCACCCATCACTCTTGCCTGTAGAAAGAGTTCTGAGAGAGTCCTCAGCCTCATATTTTATCACTTTTGTGACAGTCATAAGCTCAAAAACATCAGAGACAGGAATTGGAACATCTGCAAGCTTTGTGATATCTGCTTTCCTCCTAGTCTCACTTCAACCTCTCTCTCTCTCTCTCTCTCTCTCTCCTGTGTGTGTGTGTGTGTGTGTGTGTGTGTGTGTGCATGCTTAAGTGTTTAAAATCATCTTGAATTTCTATGTGTAGACATACACACACACACACACATACTGTATATTATTCAAATGTTTAGGGTAGTCTGCTAATCTTTGTTGAATAGAAAGTTCAAAAGAACAACATTTATATGAAATCTTAACATTCTAAATGTCTTTACTGTCACTTTTGATCAGTTTGACCAAACTTTTGAACCTCAGTGTGTATATATATTATATTTATTACCTTGGTAAACTTTTGTCAACAAGTTGCGTAACTTGTGCAGTTTAATAAATCAATTGTTGAATTGGTTCTCATTGAATCAGTTTGGATGACTCACTCACTCAACAATAGATTTTTATGTCTATTCTCTGTGCCGCCTTACTGGAAAAACAATATCCTGAAAAAAACACAATTTCTTTACAAAGTTACATTGTAATTTAGACATTTTGATTTTGTTTTGTTGTTTTTTGAAATGGATGAGAATAAAGAGTGAACAAATGTGCCCACTGTAAGGGAAACAGGTCAATAATTTAGCTCAAAGGGAATCATTTAAGATTTTAAAGGGAACTCCACCATTAATATGTAAGGGCATTTGGACAGAATCACTGTTTTACGGCTGATCACTGAGACGGCCAGCGATTCAGTGAACGAGCCGTATGACATCAATTCTGCAATGGATATCTATATCCAAAATATAGTGAAAACACTATTAATTAGCATAGTAACAAGATCGGCAGTTTAAGACATTAACTTGTGAGCACAAAACATGAGATACTTCTCTTTTCAATATAAATAAGGCTTTATTGGATAAATCTAAGACATATAAACTAATCTAACACATGAACACACACATTCACACAAGTTGCAGATAGAGAGAAAGTGAGGAAATAATTGATTTAAGAGAATGAAAATGTGAAGTTTACAGCAATATGTGCAATTGCATAGATCTGAACAACCATCAATCACTTAATTAACCCTCGCATTGAGTTCCTCAATGAGATTAAAATTTATATTAAATGCACCAGTTCAGCTAGGATCTGGAGGTACTTGCTTTCTGTGTCC